TATAAATATATATAAAAGAAAGGGAAGCTATCTCACACTGGTGATGAATAATCATAAACTATAGTCATTGAATGCATGGTTGCCATGGGAATACAGAATAAAAACTGGAATGTGTATGCCCTTGGGAAATTTCCCATCTACTTGGGATTCCAAATAGCCATAGAAACAACTTCATACTTAACGGGCCAGAGAAAGGCATCTGCTCTCCTCAAAGACTTGGGAGAGAAACATTTTGGAAGGTTAGAAGCTGAGAGAACAGGGGGGTGGATACATCCTTAAAAATGGATCTAGGGCATTTCAGGAAAACTTGGATGCGAGATGGAGCCCAGATGTGCATTAAACAGAAGAAAAAAAGGGAACCTCAAGGAGCTGAGGAAGAAAGCATCCTTGATTGTACCACACAGAAGGCTCATTTGTATAGTATATCATCACACCTTGGAGGACTCCAAGTTGATAAGTTCACAGAAGTGGAAATAATTATACTGTCAGCAGTGTGAAATCATAAGGACCAAGGAAGTGTATTATTCCTCCTTTTCACAAGTCCAGTGCAGTGGATATGTCTGCTGTCATCAAGTGCTTGAGTAGTAGGATGTGGAAACAAGTTTGTCCTAAATCCAGAACTTCTGTACCTTCCATTGTACTTTGAAGATATGGACGAATAATCAGAGTTTAGATTTAAGTTTAAGAGTAGAGCTACAACAGTATTTTTGGCTAAAATATTTTATCTCTGGAATGGCTGTCTTCAAAATACACTAATATGGTAGTTTCCAATTTGTTGGGGTGTTGAGTGTAACATTACGTCAGTACCCCTAGGTGACATGGTGACATTTTGGGATGTTCCAGTGACTACAGGATGTTCATGGTATTTTGCCCTGAATCTGGGGTTACTAAATATCCCCCACTACATAGCATAGTGCTGAGTGAATGAATGAATGAAAATGAAATGATTCCTTCATTTTCTTATTAAGAGCCTATCTCCATCCAGAATGTATACAAGTCAGTGCATCAGAAGTCCAGCCAGAAGCACAGCAAAGCAAACAATGGGGGATAAGGTTGCTCCAGGAAACAGCACAGTCCTGTGCTGCCAGGAAAGCCAAGTGCAAAGCAGTCCCCACCCTGGAGGGATTTGTGCTCTGCTTTTGGAGCAAATGTAAAGGAATCTTTGCAGGCTGGAGCGAAGTGACTTAATAAAAATGTGTAGTGGTCCTTGAGACCACAGAGGAGGACACCTGTTCTTAGCATTCTTACAGGACTCTGTCAAGATATTTCAGAGTCTTGCAGGCTGTGTGTGTGGTAAAGATTTGCTGAAGTGACTTGGCTGGTTATCTTAGTAAAGAATGTAAGTAAATCCTGTGATGAAGGGCCTGGTCTACCAGGAAAAAAATTATCAGAGCCTTGGGGAATGTCACTGGGACATGGCTGGTTGTGAAATGTGCAAGGATTATGCCATAAATACAAGCGAAGTGGGAAACCAGGCAAGGACTTGTCTCTGGGGAAGGATGCCAGCCCACATGGAACCTGATGTCAAAACCCAAAAAAAGTTAATGCAAAGCAAAAAAAACTAGATTTGTCAGGAAGAAAGTCCTTGACCTTTGTAAGTCTTGTGAAACAGAAACAGGTAGCTAAAATGAGTTCTATACTTTTGGACAAACAGGGCTGGGTGCCCCTTCAGAGTTGGGATGACATCCTGCCCTCTTTCTACCACCATCTGGCACAGTATATGTTGTTCCTTTTTTGGTCAAGTGAATGAATGAATGAGAGACAATCCAGAAGTGAGCTCGTTCTCAAGCATATTTCCAAAGACTTCAGCTGGGGATAACTTCAAGGTGGCAGCAAACAGCTGACGTAGGGGCTGAGATAGGCCAATCTGTGTTATTTTATTCACAATGAATGTTTCTATCCTGATCATTCAACCCAAAGCACATGAATCTGTTCGACTAGAGAGTATCTGACAGTTTGGTATGAAAATGACATTGGTGTGTGTGCGTGTAAAAAGTATTAGTATGCCCGATTTGTTTGGCCTATTCATGTGGAAATTTCTTTAAAGTAATGGATTCTGCAAGGTTTGGGGAAAACTGTTTGAGTGCTTACATGAAAACTGTGTTTTCTACTGATAGCTTGAGCTGGGATTTGAAAAGAATAAATGTGGCCTTCTATTTGCAGGGTCTGCTTTCCATCCCTTTCTCAGATGTTAAAGTGACTTGTAATTGCCGCTCTTACACTGAATCCTGGAAGAATGACTGTGATTCACAAGTGTTGGTAAAGCACTGCTGAAATCTAAAAAGTATTTACCGCAATTGTTCGGACTCTCTAAGAGCAGACCTTCATAGGACATGAAAGAATAGAACAGGAAGAAAAGAGAGCATTTCTGACTGGCAATAGCATTTCTAAGGAGTTGTTGAGCAAGAAGCTAGAATCGAAACAATGTTCAGATATATAGGATACCAGCATAAATCCACTTTTAAAACTGCCTTGAACCCCAATAAAATATAATCAGAGAGCTCTGCACACTCTCTAATAGTAGTAGTAGTAACGACTCCTCCCAATTTCTACTATGTTCTGAACTCTGAAGACATTTCATTTCACCCAATTTACTGCAAGAGTCTGTACACACAGCACCCAGGGGCTAACACTACACAGGTATATTGCAAGAAACCTTCACCTTCTGAAGCATCAGCTATTGGCTTTTGCTTTGGGAGATGAGAAGCTCGATGTATGTCTTTCTGTTGGATTGACAACTTTTGTGACTCTCCCTCCGTATTGCTAATACCACCCTCTCCTTATTTCAAAAATTTCAATAATATATGTAAAATATTTAAAGCATGTTTGTTTTTCCGTATTCTTCCATGAGCTCTCCTCAGAAATAAGAGGGGCCAACAATTTTATGTATTATACTGTTGCTTTTAGATTTTAATCTGAACACAGTGCCTAGAGCTTATCTCCACCAGTATTTTGTGTGTAAAGCAGTGTCAGAAAGCCACCTAGGCATCCTAAACAGCCTGTGGGCAAGTCCGGCTTCTGTGTTTTTTCCACCCATGAATACGTCCTGTGGTTGCAAGTGCATTGTCTCTGAGGTCTATCAGTTCATAGACCTATATTATATGGCTTGTCCATGTGATTAAAAAAAGATCTATGAGTTGATCACCATTATTTGAAAATCAAGATGTTTCACTTAAAAATATCAGGATTGGCAATAGGATATAAAAGGACCAGTAACCCCAAAGACACTCCTGTGGGGTACCTCTTGGTAAGAGGCAAATGGTCACGGCCCCTGTAGACATAGAGCTGCAGTCTCTACATCTCCACTGTTCTATTATGTTAGTGTTGGTCACCTATACTTATTGTGTCACCTGGTGGTTCCTGTAGACATTTGCGTTTGCAAACTCTACTCTCTGAATATCAGATTTGAGACCTACAAATATTACAGGTAAGGTGGCCTTATAATTAATTGCCCAAACTGGAATACTTCGAGAGTTAAAAAAAAAAAAAAAAGGATGCTCTTCATAACTACACATGAAAGTAGGCATAAGCCAGGACTGTCCCAGACAGACTGAGACATATCATCTTTCTGTGTATCGTCCACTTCAGTTGACTAAGCAGCAGACAGTTGAGACCTAGGAGGAGGAAGTAATATAGCTGTAGTAACCACAAAGCAAACCAATGGCCATGATGCCCTATATGCCCTGACTCCCAGGCCACCATTTCTCCAAGATAACATGCCAGGATGACGTGTATGCGCACCGTCTCTCCCTTAATGGGTGGACTTTTAAAAGTTAATAGTTATTCCAGAAGTAATTTTCTGGGAAAATGTACAAATCGGTAGCTTATATCAAAACATTTATATTATTAATACAATTAACTACTTTAAACATCCAGAGATGTTTAAAGCATCAGTAGGCTTGAGAACTAGATGATGCGTGAGCCTTAGGGTCACGTCTTAGCTGTTCCTAAAGACTTAGGCCAAAGACTAGTCTGAGATGTGTTTTCCAGGGTGCCTTTGTCCTGTGCCCCACTTGTCTCCCACCTGCCCTTCCAAGAGCGCTTGCACACTGTGCTTCCTACTTCAGCTGCACCATTTACCATCACAAATCTGCTAGCTGTTTGGCCTTTTGCTAGCTGTTTCCTAGTACAACTTTCTAGTTGGTTAGTAAGGCTTCAGAGCAGTAGAGCTATCTGGTACTGTGGTAGAAGATCTATCAGGGCCTTTACAGTTACCTTGATGTGGGATATGGGAGAAGCATTCAAGGACATCTTTCTCTATAACAGGCTAGTTGTTGAAAAGGCAAACTCCTTCCTCACATTTTCCAGTGTATTGGTTCTTGCCACCTCTTTGGCTCCCAAAGCTCCCCAGGCCACCTTCTCCGACACCAGCCTTTAAGCTTTTGTGCCATATCACGCAGAAGGTACTTGGGCCAATGCAACACAGGCTGTGGGTGCCATATGGAAAAGCCACACCATATACATATGTGCAGGGTATTTCTGAAGCCAGAAGGAGTGTAGAACAGTGTGTAACTGATCTAGCTTTATCTTTCCCTAGCCCTTGAAAATTTTAATCATTGACAGATCTTTAGGCTATAAATAGAATCATGTAAGGAAATGAATCCGTGTTAAAACCAAATATGTACTTTTGTTTTTATATGGCCCTGGAACTGTGTGTGGATGTATGAAAATGTAGGTTGAACGTTTGAATACAGATGGGCTAGATGTCCCAATAAAATACGCGGAGAAGGATGAATACACGAATGGAGATAGTGTGTATCAATCTGCTCAAGTAGGGATTTTCATGGTCAAGCAGAGGCTTTGCTTCCACCAGGTTCAGGTGCAGAGTTCACTTAGAGGGCTGCCAGAGCTTGCGAGAACCCTGGCTACATGTCTCTGCCTTCCATGCCACAAAGAACATGGGTCCCCAGCCCGTGAAGGGATGGCATCCGGAGTCAGGTTCCAGGCAGTATTTTCTTTTGGAGTAACCTCTTTCCTTCTTTCCCTTCTACCTCTTCTAGGCAGGACAGGTCTGCTTGCTGAGCTCTTGCCCAGTTTTGCTGTGGAGATAATGCCAGGTATTCAGACATTTAACTCTACTTGCTTAATTTGCTGTGACTCCATCTGTCTTATTTCTGCACTCGTCACTAACTGCTCCTTTAATTATTTATATGTCTATATGTGTCTGTGGTTTTTTCCAGGATGACCTGAGAGCATTGGAAGAGACTTGAAATTGTATTCTGTTACTAGACCCTAAAAGAATAATGATAAATAAGCATAGACTGAGGTGGGGTGCAGTCCCTCAGATTGCCTGCAAGCTCTCTGGCGATCTCCATGCCTATCTAGGTATTTAAGCTGTACCCAGAAAACTATAAGAGCCCTTAACAGAGTCATTATTTAGCTACATTCCTTACTCACTAAGTTACATGTTCACAAAATTGGCATACAGCCATGTAATTCTGAATTACCTTTTACAACTCTATCAGAATATTTTCTCTAACTTTATAATAAAAGCTATATATCCCTCCTCCCTTGAAAGGTACCAGAGGTACAGATTTAAATTGCTTTGTATACAACTTCATAATTTCTTGCGCCTCCTAAATCCTTGGGTTCGCTGGACCATACACACTTTCCCAAATGCACCGCTCTGCTTTTTAGGTGGCCTAGGTTGAACACACCCGCATAGACAAGCTGACAGTAGTTTGGCAGAACACAGTAGTCATTTGAGTGCAAAGAGGCTCAGAGAGAAGTCTGAATGACCTATGGCAGAGGGCATATCCAACTGAGGGAGGGGGAAAGGAGGTGACTCAGTCTTGTGTTGGAGGGTTTCTGCCCAAGCTTTCAGAACTTGTTGTTCCTGTTGGGAACAACAAAGAGATACAGAAATGTACCTGCCACTGACTTCATTTTAATTCAAGTTTGAAGAAGCATCTAGAATCTTTACAGTGGAACTTGACCAATTATGAATTCCCCTGGTCCTTTCTCATTAGCTGTCACCCCAGTGCAGACAGTCTTCCTGTCGATGCTGGTCCCTAGAACACACATAGGTACCCCTTTGTGATCCTCCTGTCCAGAGTTCCATCAGTGCGATATACATGTTCATCCCTCACACACACACACACACACAATGTTACGTTGCATTCCTTCCCCAGGTCCCATGGAATGGATGTGCGCCTGGCCTGGCTGTGGGCCACCTTGAGCGTGGTTTTTCTCTGTGCGTCCTTGCAGAGTGGGTGTTTGTTGGCCTGGTGATCCTGGGAGTCTTCCTCTTCTTCGTCCTGGTGGGGATCTGCTGGTGCCAGTGCTGTCCTCACAGCTGCTGCTGCTACATCCGCTGTCCCTGCTGCCCAGAGTCCTGCTGCTGCCCACAGGCCTGTGAGTACCGTGGGGACAGACCGGGATCAAGAGAAACGTCCTCTGTCAGGCAGCCGTGTGCCCTGAGCCCCTCCCTTACCTTCGTTCTTCCCCCAAAGTCAGTCATTCCAGACTTGTTTCTCTGCTTGGAGCCCCCAGCTCCCAGCAGTGACCATCCTGTCTGCCTTCTCACCCCCGTGCATCCCTCCATGTTTTTGGCCACACCTGTCACCCTGTACTTGGAATCCCCATGGACACTAGTGACGGCAGGAAGGGCCAGTTCAGAACAGCAAGGTTGTGCAGTTAGGCTGTGCCCTCTCCTTGGGGCATTCAGACTGGAGGCTCTGTCTCTGGTCGTGCCATGCATAGGCAGGGAGCCTGCCTTCTTTATAGCATGTGCAAAATGTGCTTTTGGGTACCATCCAGCCACAGATGACTTTTATTTACTCCCATGACAAAATGGGCCACAGAGGCACTCGTCCTCATTTAGTGATTCACGGTTTTGCTTTACTGGCCAAGCCTGGTAAGTATTCAATTTGGCAACCCTGCCATGAAGCAAACACAGCTTGAAGGAAGGAGACACACGTATGTCTTTGGTACCTTGAGTAGAGCAGTTGGCATGAGCCAGTGCTTCTGAGGTCACAGAGCAGGTCCAGGTGCCTTTCTATTGCCTACTGGAACTCTCTAGAAGAGGGTCAGGATCCTCGCAGAAGGGGTCCTGGGCAACCCGGCTGCTGGGCCTCCTCCAGTGGGGGAAGGCAGCCAACAGGCAATGTGGGTACGAGTGGGCTGCTGCTGTCACTGAGGCGGCTGCTGTGACAACTCCCAGAACCGTTTAATTACTCAGTTGCCAGGTACTAAACACTGTAATTCCGTATGTCGGTGCTTTTCGGCAGAGCTGGAAGAGTCCAAGAAAGTGGGGGTGAGTGGTTCTAATGAATCTGTTCAGGTTTAGGAGCGCGCACTTGTGTGTGTGTGTACAGGCGTGCACACACATACACACACACAGACACAAACCAGGACCTCCCTAGAGTATATCCTCAGGGATGTTTGGTGTGAGGGTTGCGGAGGGTGGGACAATATAATCTCTTTTGCTCTTCATCTCCTTCCACAGTGTATGAAGCAGGGAAAGCAGCAAAGGCCGGGTACCCTCCCTCTGTCTCCGGTGTCCCTGGTCCCTACTCCATCCCCTCTGTCCCCTTGGGAGGAGGCCCCTCATCTATCATGCCGATGGACAAGCCGCACCCACCTCCCCTGGCTCCGAGTGACTCCACTGGAGGAAGCCACAGTGGTAAATGTAGTTCCAGACCTCCCCTGTCCCATGCTGCTCTTGGCTTCCACTCTGCTTCTTGCTGAGAACCATCAGTGATGCTTCTTTAGGAAATGATTGTCTCCACTGCAGCAATGAGACCCTCCCAGCTCTATCCACTACTTTCCGGAGTGCACAGCAGGCTTTGCTGGGGCAGCAGGCCCCTGCTTTCTCCCCATGCTAAAACAATAAGCGCAGAAGCATGGTTCCTCTAAATGTTGACCTTTCAGTTCATAGTTGTCACCTCCCTGCCTAGTGCCCAGGGTGGTGGCAGATTCCATGACAGACACCAAGTGTGGGATCTGGTTTGTGTCAAAAGCAGCCTGGCCCCCTCAAGGGTAAAAAAAGAACGGACTGTCTTTCTTAGGATAATTAGATGCTAAGGGATGGTGCTGGAAGTTCAAAGAGAAAGGGCCAGACTGGTGCAGTCTTCCTGGAGGAGGTGAGATTTGAGCTGGGCTGGAGGAATGAGGAGGTCTCACGAGGGATAGGTGCTGAGCAGCCTTGGAAGGCAGCTTGGCAAAAGTGTGGTCACAGAGCACAATGTGACACCGGATCCAACTTCCATGACTGATCAGAAGAGAGTAGAAGGGTGTGTGGAGCCAGAGTGGAAGGTCCTTGAAACCCCTCCAGCAGGTCTGGGGCTTGGTGCAATAAGTGAGTGAAGGGCCAACACAGGCCACTGCCAGGGTGAAGAGGGGCTTGCTGTCAAGGCCAGTGCCAGGGGAAGAATAAGGAAGCAGAGGTCACAAGCTGAGATGTGACTCAAGTGACTCAGGTGGGACTTGTGAGCTCCTGAATGATGCCAGAGAAGTTGGGGTTGGTGTGGGTAGATGAATCTGAGAGATGCTTTGGAAGAAGAAACAGTAAGCCTTTAGGAAATGAAGTGAAGGGAGGCTCCAGAGAACTTTGCTCTGTCTAGTGCAAGATCACAGATGGAAATGAAGTCATTGCTAAAGGAGAGCTTATTTGGGTGAAGATTAGCACCTTGGGGGCATGATGAATTTGTGGTTATCAGCAGAGTAGAGGATAGAGTGTCTTTAAAACAGCTTCCTGGAGGCCTCCCAGGATGACAGGATGTGAAGATTAGGATTGTGTGTGTAGGAGATTTAGAAGATCGTTTTTTGAAGCTCTGGATGTGAGTGTGCTCCTGGCAGGGTCTGGACTGCCTTCCAGGGGGTGGGGAAGGGCATCGCCCACTTAGTGGCCTGTCAGTGCTGGTTCACGGGAGTGGACATCCCCAGTGAGTAAGTGGTATTGTGCTTTCTCCCTCTGGAGCCACAAGCAGAATACTGATTTTGGAGATTGGAAATGAGTTACAGACTAAGAAGTAAAAGTTAATGATCAAGGACACACAGGGAATTTGAGATGAGATAGACCATTTCCCCACAAGACGGCATGGACAAAGGGGACATCAAAGGAACGAGTCTCGCACACTTTATTTACAGATTCCGCTTTTTCCCAGCTTCTTCCCTCCCATCAGAACTCTTTCCCTCTTCTTATTTAATGGATTCTTACCATAAAGTGACTCTTATAGAGTGACTTCTTTTAGCCTTTCCCAAGTTTCTATTGGTTGCAGTTAAATCATTTTGGCCCCAACCTGCCGCACTAATCAAAGACAATTAAAAGTGGCTTGAAAAATAGGGAAATGTCTTATTTGTGTCACATAGCAAAGGCCCTAAGGTGGGGTGGCTCCAGGGTTGGTCAGCTGAACAGGTCACATACCTTTGCAACAGGATCTGATTCTTCCCATCTTTTGTGGAGTCATCCTGAGCATCCTCTGTCCTTGTAGGCCAGCACCCTCATTATGCCATGATGACCAGACTTCCAGGAGCTAAATGTATGCCAAGATAGAAAAAGCCGAGCTTCCCTCCCTTCTACAGGCCTTTCCTCACAGTGTTATCTGCAAGAATTGTGTTCCATGCCTATTCCTACAGCAGTTAGCGCAGTTATCCAGCTTATCTCTTAAACACCTAACCACCTTGGAGATGACCAAAATCAGGATCCTGGTAACAAGGAGAGAGAAGAAGGTAACAGCTGTGTTGGTTACAGCTAGTCTGGCCCATGTTGTCATTATCTGGTTGAGTCAGGACAGAGTTCTTCACAATCCCCCACCAGGCACAAGTCTGTGCATAGTTTCACAGGCAGAGTTAGAGATGGCATTTAGTCATTTCTTCTTTAAGAAAGGTGGCATTGTGTACAAAAGTGACCAGTGATATAAGAAGATAATGAATAATTTTTAAAAAAAAAAAAAAGGTGATTTTGATCAATGTTCCATATAGGTTATTCTGTAAAGAATGTTAGAAATGTTAAGAAATGCTGATTTGTAAAGATGTAAATTTAGCCTATCTTATATTTATATGCTACTTCAATTTTAGGGTAATCATCTAGCAACAGTCATTTTCCAGATTACATTTGTACACAATACACTTGTGAACATTCTGTGCATTTGAAAGATGTTGTTGATGAGCTATGTATAGGATAGCCCGTTGATTACCAGTTGGAGACAGATCAGAGGCCCCCTGATTCCTGCTTCCATTCTTCACAGCAGCTCCTTGAGACCTCTGTAACAACAAAAGATGGTCTCCTGCTCTGCTCTGGATCTGGCCCCTTCAGCCCTTTCATCATCATCAAGTTTCTCTCCTGAGAAAGCTCCTTTCTTCTCACCTCAGACCTGCAGCCCTTCCTTCTTGAGAGACTCCTCCCTTTTAGCTTTCAAAACATGTTGAGATTTCTCCCATTGCAATACAATTGTGAAAACCTTGTCTTCTAATGTTACTTCTCTTTTTTTTATAGCCCTTTTCATAGCCAAACTCCTTGAAAGAGTTTTGAATATTTAATGTCTCCATTTCCTCAGCTTTCACCTACTCTTCAACTAAATTCTGCCTCACTATCGCTTTCACCACTCCAAAAACCAGCTCTTGCCAAGTTGCCTTTTTTGCTAAATCTAATAGATACTTTTCAGACCCTTTCTTCCTTTGACTTCTCAAAAGCATCTGCTGTCTATCCCTTATCCATTCATCGTGCTCGGCCTTCCTCCACTCTAGACTTTTGTAATTTTTCCTACTTATCTTGCATGTGCAGGATGTTTTTCCGCTATCTATCTCCCAGATATTGGGGTGCTCTCCCTGGGAATTCGTAACTATGCCTGCTACTGCAGTCCTCATCGGTATGCTGGTGACTCCCAACCCTAGTCTTTCCTCTTCTTCAATGCCACCTATCCTACTGCCTTCTAGACTCCTCCACCAGGATATCTTGAGGGCATTTTAAGATATCCTGGTGGAGGATAAATAATAAAATTAATCTACTGTTTGTCAGTTTCAAAGCAACTCCCACATTTCTTATTTCAGTTGTTAACACCCTTTTTCATTTAGTAGCCCAAACCAGAAGCTGGGACTTCATCCTTATCTCTTCTTCCTCTCTTCCCTCATCCAAGAGGTCCCCAAGTCATTCAAGTTGTATCTCAAAATTACTTTGAGTTGGTTTCCTTTGCTCTGTCTTCATTGCAACTCTCTTAGTTCTTGCTATCATTATCTCTCCCTTTGATTAATACAGTTACCTCCTACTTAGCCTTTGCACATTGACTCTTACCTTGTTCTCATCTATTTAATTTCCACATCTACATGGCCTTCATAGATACTCTTGCAAAATTGAGTAGGCAAGCTGGGTTTTGAAATGCCATTTTCAAAACTAATAAGGATGTGTGTGTCTATATATATGCCTAGTGTATGTACACAGACAATATGCAAATCTTAAGCATCACTTCTCCCACAACTGCTGCCACCCTGGAGGTGGAATCTGTCAGCTGTTCCATTATCCATAAACAGCCTTACTTTGCTCAGGAACACAGGATAGGAGGAGCAAGGCTACATCCATGGATATCTACTTTAGAGATTTTTGCGAGTTTTATACGGTGGATTTTGCTCTTAGTTGAAAATTTGCTGAAAAATAGCTGAGCCTTAATTGAGTCAGAAATATCAGTCAAGTCCTTTAACAATAAGAATTTCTGAGTGTAGAGTTTAGCATCAAAGTGAATACCCCAGCCTCCCCTCTCAGTAAAATCAAAGTTGGCAAGGCTAATAAATTAGAGGAGGTGAAGTATGAAGCACCATCCCCAGCCAAGGACTTAAGTCACACTTGACTTAAGTCAACTTGAAAAGAGAAAATCAATCATCCATCAACCCTAACTAAAACATTACTGAGGAAAAAGTCATTTCCCCCAAAATGCTAGCCTAGGACCTTTCTCATTAAAATATCACCACACATCAGAAAGTTCTCTGGTCTTAAGACAAATTACAGATAAAAGTCAACCTGACACCATCCTATTTGTTTTCAAATAAAGAAACATTTAATGCCTGCTTACAGATTTTCCCTCAAGGAATGTTTTGTCTAGTAGAGTGCTTTCTGGGTTCTAGTGGATAGAAGTAAATGAGCAAAAATTTCTTCAAAGCAGTCTGTGGTAAGACTGTTCTCAGAGAAGGAAAAGTCTCATCTGCTTGGTGGGATCATGAAATGTTTTCTGCTGTTTATTATGCCCCTGAGTGCAGCTGTCACACACAGCTAGAGTTTACCAGGATGAGAATATGAATTCTAGTGGGCAGCACACCCAAACCCATAACAAAACCAGACGCAAAGCTCTGAAAAGAACTGCCTTGCTTCAGTTAGTCTCTGAAGTGACGATCTCTCTAAAGTCTAAGGATCAATACTTTGCCTCTGTCTTTTTTGACAAATTGGGGGATTTTGCCTTTTGAAGCCAGGGGTGGGTGTGAGTGAGCCATCAAAGCTAGTACAGTGGCGTCTCACAAGTATTAAGACAAAACTACCATCTTCATTGGAGGCTGCAGAGTCACTGTGACTTCTCAGGAACATGATAACCTATACCACATAATCAAATCTGCCTCTTAATGGGGAATGTAATTTGTTAGAATGACACAGAAAACAATCTAAGCTACAGTTGAAGTTGCTGTTAACAGAGACATCCAGCTGTTGCTCAGGATGGCCGCCATCGCTCACTGCCAGGGGACAGCTGGTACATTGTCCCCCATGACACCACTTCCCAGTCCTTTCCCCCATTCCATTAGTACCAATGTTTAGCATATCTCTGCTTCATTTATTAAGACCACGTAGAGAAAGCCATAGCTGCAGGTAGACTGAATCCCCTCCTAATGCCTACAAACATTCATTTTCTCCATGTAAAAAAGAATCACTAAGAACAAGAAAATTTACCTAAACTGTGCTATTTCCTCAAGCTACCATTCAAGTCTTCCCCTTCCTGATGAAAATTCTCTGACAAACCATAGCTTCTTCTACCTTACGTTGTAGTCCCTTATAACACAGTTTCTCTCCCTGAGTTCTGTTCATTCATTCATTCAAACACATGTTTTAAGTGTCTACATTATACTAGGTACTAGGTACTAGGGATGCAGATACAGAGAACTGATCCTTATCCTCAGGAACTTAATAGTATAGGGAGGGAAATTCTAATGAAAATACTTCCTAAAGAAATTTTTTAACCCTCCCCCCATCCTCAAGCTATATAGCTCAGCAAATACTTATTAAGTGGGCTTTACACTGATCCAGAATGATAAGGATTCCTTTCCTCCAGGAGTCATTAGGGGAAGATTAGACATTAATGCAAAGAGCTTCAAACCAGCTAGAATATATTTAGGACCATAATGAAGGTACAAAGTCAATGAGTTATTAGCTAGGAGTCAAACACAGAGAAGAGAAGCAATAGAACTTTTGTAGCTTATAACGCGAAGAAAGCCTTTGAAATAAAGTAACATTTGGGCTGACCTTCATAATTACAAAGAACTGAACGTGTTTTGCTGATTTGATCTTTGTGTTTTCTTTATGAGAGTGCTGATAGGGTGAGGAGTATTAGTTGGGTTTTTTAGAAAACTGAATCTCAGGTAGGGGCCATTGATTTGAGGTTCCGCATACACCACAGCATGCCCACAGGTGCTGGAACCGGCCTCCCAGCTCTGTTTCATCCATCAGACATAACTGCCTCGGAACAGACAGAGCATTTCCGTGGGATAATTGCATTTTAATTGAACTGTCTGTACTACTCTGTAAACGCCTCTGCAGAGATTGAAGAGGGTGTAGCTTGATAAGTAAAATAATTTCTGCTAATAATTGCTTCTGCGTAAGGATTATGGATCTAACCTACAGGAGAAGGTGCCACTAAGAAGCAGGTACTTCGTGGCATTTTTAAAGTAATTCCAGTTTGCAGCGAATGTGGACTGCCCAGTGTATTCTCAAATAGAAAGTCAGTGCACCTGCAATGGGTGTGTGGGCAGCTTCCCGGTCTGCAGTGCCAACGCTGTGATTAGAGTGTGGAATATTATATTTTAATCTCTCATGTACATAGCTTGTGTGGGAGCTTTGACAAGGGTAACACAATCAGAGAAAGGAAAGCAGGATTTTCTCCAAAGGGACACGCAGTGATCTGACTTCTTGGTGGCATCTGCCTGCCTTTGGGAGCAGAGACTGTACAGTCCTAGCAGGCTAAAAGATGGGGCCATGCCTCAGACCACACCACCCGCAGCCCCACTACAAGCATTTCCTACCCTGGACTCTCCTTTCTCCACTTCCTTTTCTATCCTTCTGCACTACCTGTGTTCCTTGACTCCACAGAGGCAAGATGCCCAAAATGGCTAGGCTTCAGTGAAACTCCATATGGCACTGCCAGTGTTCTGAGCCAGTTATAAAACCCACCTAAGCCAAAGTTTCCTCACAAAATGTGGCTAAAAATAGTAACTTCCTTAGGTGGTTGAGAGGAGCAAATGGTGTGTAAAGCACTTAGCTTAGTACCGAGTTCATTTTCAATACCCAATACGTATTGTCTTGCCATCACTGTTCTGTCTCCATCCCCTTCATTCCTTGCTTGCTTTTCCCTCCCCCTCTCATCTGTGAAGATTAGACCTGCCTGTGTCTGGTCACTGTGGGACTAGCATTGGACTAAACTTCAGTGGTACGGGGCTTATCAGCCTTTGTCCCTGAGAGGATGAGGGATGGGAATGTGGGTGATGGTATTATCTGTCATGCTTTAGCTTTGTTTTTTATTATGTCCTGAAAATAACACCTGCTTGGAACCATGAAGCAGCAGGTTGAATTAATCATGTCTACAATATGATATTCTCTTTCCTGTGGGGAAAATGCTAAAGAAATAAAATGAAACTCTATTGTTAGTAATCTATGGGTTTTGCATCTTATTTTGTACCAATGCATATATAGCATGTCATCTAATACTAGCTCTTGTGGACCACCCAGTTCTAGAATTTCCACACAATCTCCCAGACAACTAGAGGCTTCTATGTTACCTCTGTCCTGACCCCTGAGGTTTGGGTATCTACTTTAAAGTCACATGTGCCCCACCAAGTGAAGGTGTGATGTTCACACAGGAGCAGGGGCAAGAAAGTGGTCTTTGTACATGAGTAGATTCCCCCAGGCTTTGAGAAGCTTTGTAAGCTTGACATGGGGCTATCAGCAGTCAAGAGATGCAAAATAAAGATTGACAAATAACTAAACTATTGGAAGAGACTTGGTGGTTGGGTACTACTCCCCAGTCCAGTGATGCCACCTGATAAAGGGGCTCTCAGATATGGTTCCACGTGGATCAATGCAGATTACTTTTTCGGGGTGGTTTCAAAAAGAGCTATTGTAAGTGAGGGCTATTTTTCTATTGGGAAGAATAAACAAAGACTTCCTTCCTCTCATTCTTTCCACTTACCCGCTTGTCCTTTTCCCAACAGTTCGCAAAGGTTACCGGATCCAAGCTGACAAAGAGAGAGACTCCATGAAGGTCCTATACTATGTCGAGAAGGAGCTGGCTCAGTTTGATCCGGCGAGAAGGATGAGAGGCAGATGTGAGCATCTTTCCGTTGTATCTGATTTGTGCCTCCTACAGGGGTTCCTAGCTAACGGAGATTTGAGAGAGTTCCAAACTTGGGCAACTCTGAGCTTTCAGAGTCAGAACTAGCAGGTGCACTGGGGACATCATCCTGAAGAAAGTAGTTCTAAATACAAAGAAGGGAGAAAAGGGGGCATCAGAGGTGAAGTGTAAAGCATGGGGGTGTCACCTGGATTTATGGTATGTTCTTCATGGAACAGCCAGTCCTGCTAAGGCAGGCAACCCCAGGGTAGGCAATGTTTTATTGAGAGAGTCTTTTCCTACTACCTCCTCTAAAGTAAATCTTCAAAATAATGAGTTAAGAGATGGAAGCTCAAGTATCAATTTTCTAAACATGAAAGGCACTCTAGCATTGAATAATCCAGCTACTACTTGCTTTACGGAGGCCTCAGTGACAAGAACAGTCTGGCAAGTGACTCCTGAAGAGAGACCCACCTTCCAGCAGCAGCCTCTAAAGGGCAAACATGGAGGCCACCTCTCTTGCCAAAGGAACGTTTAAATGACTGAGTCTGCAGATGACAGCACCCCAGCTCTTAACCCCAGCCCTTGGGGACTTTGCAGCTAACTCTTCTAGTCCAAATGACCATCATGAAAGGCAGCCCCGGGGCAGGTCTGACATGAATGGCTAATTGTCAGAGAGGCTAATTGTCAGTGAGGTTGCTAGGGCTCTTCTCCTGCATTGGAACCAATGGAAGCCTTGATGGAATTGTTGGGGAAACAGTCCCAGACTAGAGGAGCTTTATGCAGATTAAGGACAACATATTCCTCCCGGTTTGCAATGCTATATTCATCCTGTCTGAGTTGCAGCCATCGCTGCATCCTCCCACCACCTTGACTATAAAAAGACCACCTCCAGATTGGAATGTCAGGAATGCAGATGTCACTGCACTTGACAAGCTAGTTGTAACGGTGTTGTCATGGATCCCTGGAAGGGGACAGAGACAGAGACAGTCCATGATCAAGGAGAAGAAACCTGTGGAGGGAATATGTGACTCTCACAGCTCAGAGAAAAAGTTTAAAACTGAGGCTAAGCCTAAGGAACAGAGCCTAGTTTAGATGCTGTCTACCTGCTTAAATGATAGAGGATCCAGGTATAATAGTCATAAGGTAATGAATCTTCGCATCCTAGGGGACACTAAGGGTGACTTTGGCTGCCCTTTGCTATGTATAGAAAAGGAAAGAGAAGCCCAGAGTGTCAAAGTGACAGATACAGAATTAGTGCTTTGGTTTTTACACAGGAAACTTTGAGCAAATTGGGGGTGGCTATAGGGTGGGGGACTATAGTCCTCTAGCTCATAGGACTTTAAAATTCTAGAGCCAGAAGAGACTCAGTTATTGAATCCACGAAGCAGAGAAGAAAGTCAGCAGCACCTATACTCTGTGCCAGAGCAGAACTGGATCCTGCCTGCTGATAGGTTAACTGTGTGGAGATGAAGTAGGGATATAGTTTACATCCCTTAGAGAGGTTCTGAGAGCTAAACAAACCCTGGGTGGCTCAGGGAAAAGGAATCATCGTATGGTTTCAGATTTCGGCAAGGAAGTCAGAAGAACTGGGGAGTCTGTAAGAACAAGGAGTTCCAGGGTCAGCACATGAATTTTCTGGCCTTGATGATGCTCATTGGCCTTGCCCCTTGTAAGTGGGGCGGGGAGGTGGGGTTGCTCTTGGCATGTTTTTAATCTAGAATCCTTGTACAGAGTCATCAAGCAATAGTCCCAAAGCATATATATTCCACCTTTTCTTTTTGTGAGTAAGTTTTATTGGGACACGGTCATGCCACTTCACTTCCATATTTTCTATGATTCCTTTTCATGCCACAATAGCAGAGTTTAATAGTGGTAACAGTATAGCTTGCAAAACTTAAAATATTTACTGTCTTTCCCCTCACAGAAGAGGTTTACTCATCTTGTCCTAGAGTTAGATTAATGGGTGTCAGCAAAGTAGGATGTTGACATCATGTTTAGTGTGCTAGAAATTTTAGTGCTCATACAACCTTGATAGTCCATCATTATGAATGGCAAAATAGGGAGCACTCACTATCTGGAGAAATGGAAAAGGTCCAGTATGCTAAGAAGTTTAAGAAAAGTCTTGAGCCAACAATGTGAATTTTCAGTAGTCTCACTTGGTACATTTTAAAGTTCTCTTGTGTAGTTCTTGAGAAATTACAATTCTTTAATTTCATGAGTTATGAGAAAGGGATTGTGAGTGATGAAATAGAAGGTTCTCAAGTTTATTAAGCAGTAGTATCAGAGTTATTTTCCTTTAAAATGAGCACAAACTAGTCCATTCTCCTTCAGAGGAAGAGTTGGTCTAATAATTACAAAACTTGCCAAAAGGTATAAGAAATTTTCCAGCTGATTGCATGACCCAACGGAGTGATGTTTACAGTTAGCCCTGGGTCCTGGTAAAAGCAAGCCACAAGACTATGTTCATGAGGTGGGGGGAAGCCCTCTCCCCTTTTGGTGAGTGGGAACCAGCAAAAATTCTCTGCTGCAAAGACAGCTGTAGTGAGGAGAAATAGAGGGGAATGTAAGACACAGAGGGCTCCCTGCAGTCTGTCTTGGCTTAGCTCTCCCTGCACAGCCAGGCCTTATACCTTATAAATGTTGATTTTGATAATATTTTGAAGTTCTAACCAAAGGATTTGAGAAAACAAATAGATTCAGTTACATTACAAATATAGTCACTAGATTTATTTTTTTAAGTAAAATGAAATTCAATCTATTTCAAAGTTCTATAAATAAGTTGTTTTTCCCCTTCCAGATTGTGATTTCAGTACTTGTTCACAAGTGCTTTGTAAAAAAAGCTACTTAGGCCACCTTAGGAAATGAGAAAGAAATCTTTGATCAGCCCCACTTTACCCATTGACATTATTGATTGGGGCAAGAGTACAAGTGCATCCCACACCCCCTTTTTCACCCCATATCTCCAAACAACTGCCCTGCCCTGCCCTGGTCACATACACATGGTGCCCTCTGGGACATGGTGCCATTTGGGGAAGATAGTCCAGGTTCCTGGATGAGCATCCGGAAGGGGCTAGATGGACAGTAGGTTCTGTGGACTGACTCCCTGCTCTATAGACCAGGGCATAGCTGAAGGAGGGGGGGACTGGAACACCTCTAAAGCATGGGGTGGCACTGACTCTGAAGGCCCCATCATGGGACATGGGCAGCAGTAGAGAATATTCTCTGATCTGTAGCCTTTCTCTTTTTGCCCTTTTGACTCAGCATGCCTGGGATCCTCACAGCTCTTCCCAGAATTATACAAGAACATGAAAAACCTTTGAATGAGGACGATGATGTACTAGGAGGTGGCCTGCTGCAGAGAGCCCCAGTTCTCGGAAGCCTCCCTTAGGTAGAACGACAACAGTTGTTTCTTATTCTAAGAACAGAGCATGTAGGAATCTTCCCTCTCCATAGGCAAGTGGGCTTCTTCTAGCCAGAGCACCTTCCTGCTGAGCTAAGAATGCAGTCACCACTAGGTGCAGGGTCACAGCCTATCTGGACATGACTTGAGGCTCTCAGGCGGGAGTCTCCCAGAGCTTCTGTTCTCAGTCTTTAACTGAGTTCTCATACTAACATGGAGAAATCTGCCATGCCTGGTTCTGTCCCTACAGATAACAACACCATCTCAGAACTCAGCTCTCTGCATGAGGAGGATGGCAATTTCCGCCAGTCTTACCACCAGATGCGAACTAAGCAATTCCCCATGTCCGGGGACGTGGAGAGTAATCCTGACTACTGGTCAGGTGCCATGGGCAGCACTGGGGCAAGCCGGGGACCCTCAGCCATGGAATATAACAAAGAGGATCGGGACAGCTTCAGGCACAGGTGAGGAAAGCTGGGGGGAGGGGGCACTGTAAATGGAGGGAGGGTGAATATGGGCTGTCACCCAATATCATCTCTGTCTCCCATTCTAGTTTACCCTGACATGTCTCTTCTAAGAGCTGTTGAACACCCCCTTCTCGCCTTTATTAAGCAAGGGAACATTCAAGGGCCTCTGAAATGACTTCTCTGGACCCTTTGTTAAGATTTCCCTTTCTCAGCTGTTTAATTCTGTAACCTCTTAAAAACGCCAGCCATCAACACCATCATTTTGTGTCATTTGTTATGAAAAAGGTAAAACACCAAAGACAGACTATTGAATTTAATTCTAACTCTAAAGGAGTTAGCCACGAATGTCATATTGTAAGTTGGGGACAGCAATGCACAGATAAACAGGTAAACAGTTTCCCCTGGGTCATGTGGACAGTGAATGTGGGAAGCCAGCATTTGCATCCAGTTTTGTGGGGCTACATTCCCACTGAACAGCCTCTTCCCCCACTGACCTGGCCTTTATTTACCCTGAAGAACAGAAGACACTGCCTTTCTTTCAAACCTACCCACTGCAGGGGTTCCTGTGACCTACTGCTCCAAGACGTAGCCTGACCCTTGGCTCTGAAGGAGGAAAAAGCCCAACATTACAAGGGCCACTTGGGCCACAACTGTGTGCTGCAAGCCACAATGCCCATGCTGGCCCTGAGGGTTCAGGAAGTACAACCAGAGGTCAGATGATAGTGATCAGAAAGCTGTGGGCCTGTGTTTCAGCACAGCTAAGCACAAAGCATTTTATCCCAAGTGTTTAGGGTTTTTATTATTATTATAGTTGATTTTTACATCATTTTGTGCCTTTTTCCATCTTAGTTGTAATCCTTCTGGACTTTCCATCACCAATTCACCAGGCACAAAGCATTTTTATCCACACAGTTCTCTTTTGGCCCAAACTTGAGAGAGCGCGCTGGTTGCCTTCACTTTACTGTTTGAGATGCCCAAGATTATCATCCAGGGAGGAGGAGAGAGTTGTGTCATGTCTTATACCCACATCTCCTAACCGTATCCCAAAACACAATGGGCTGTCTTGTTCCCCACCCTTAAACCTCCTGTCTCAGCCCACAACTACTGGACACTTGATACTGCCGGGTCGCCTGATCACTGTCTCCTCTGCCCTCAGCCAGCCACGGTCCAAGTCGGAGATGCTGTCGCGAAAGAACTTCGCCACCGGGGTGCCGGCCGTCTCCATGGACGAGCTGGCGGCCTTTGCCGACTCCTACGGGCCGCGGCCGCGCCGGGCAGATGGCAATAACCATGAGGCCCGGACCGGGAGCCGCTTCGAGCGCTCGGAGTCGCGGGCGCACGGGGGCTGCTACCCCGACGGCTCGCTGGAGGAGTACTACCCGCGGAGCCGCAGCCGGGAGCCCCTGGGCGACACGGAGCGCAGCTGGGCCTACAGCCCCGCGCGCCGGCGGCCGCCAGATGAAGCGCACTTGCCGCGCCTGGTGAGCCGCACGCCGAGCGCGGTGCCCAAGTATGACCACGCGCACCGTGGCGGCGCGCCCGAGCGCCAGGCCCGGCCCGAGGGCGCCAGCCGAGGCGGGAGCCTGGAGACGCCCGCCAAGCTCAGTGCTCGGCTAGGCCCGCGCAGCGCCTCTTACTACGCCTGGTCGCCACCCGCTACCTACTCCTCGGCTGTGTCGGGCGCTGAAGACGACGATGAGGATGAGACCGACGAAGCTCTGCCGCCCTACAGTGAGCGTGAGCTGAGCCGCGGCCCGTCCTACCGCGGCGGCAGAGAGCTGTCCTTCCACAGCAACTCGGAGAAGAGGAGGAAAAAGGAGGCCACCAAGAAAACTGTGAGGCCGTGTCTGGCGCTGCTCCTCCAAGTGGGCTGAGCTGGGAGCCTCCAGGCAGGGTCGCAGTCCTGGGGTGGAGGTTGGGGGGTTGGAGAGAACAGGAGGGCCCTTCCCCACAGATGCCAGGTGGGGGACCGACCTATGGAAGCAGCCGGGTTAGCCTGCTCTGGAGAGCACAGATAGCTAACCTGATTTGTTCCCCCTTACTCTATAGAGAACAGGTGAATACACAGGCAGGGAGCTCTGGAGAGTTGGAAAGGCAGTGTGAAGTGTGTGGCTCTTCAGTAAGTCCTTAACAATTCCGTCGGTTCTTGGAGACCCACTTTCAGCTCAAGGACAGCATAATGATACAGGCCCGCAAATAATGTCAGTTGGTTCAACATCATGTGAATTGGTTTTTTCCTCATCCACATTATAACTAAACAACTTTATTTGAGGGCCTGCTGTCAGATAATGACCAGCTTGTAGATGGCATTTAACATCAGGGATTCTAGGCAACCATCACCACAGCAGACCCTTAGGTGGGCCTCTGGGTACAGGGTGTTCTATACATGCTTTATGTGCTTCCTCCTCCCCCCTTCCTCCTACCTAGGAGGAAGGTTTGTAATTTGTTCGAAATGCCAGGTTAATCATCCTTTGTAATTGGTCTTCTATACACATTTCTGCCTTCTCTCTTAAGTAGCCCATTCCATCCCACAGCCCCAAACTATGAGCGGTGGACCTGAGAAACCTTGGAGACAGTCAGTCGCACATGTTCACTGTGGGTTATCCAAGGGCCACACCGAGACTGAGTGCTTTTGCCTCTCCTCAGCTACCCTGCCTCTCCTGCCATTTTTCATGATTGCAAGAAGGGCTTTTATGTAGTGTACAAATGTGGGAAGAACATAAATAGAAAAAGGGTTTGACATTATTAGTCCCTAAAAAACAACCAAATGTGTTTTACTGTTTAAATAGAAAAATGAGATGATCTAAGTAGCTTGAGTAGGGAAGGATCTTTTGGGTGATCTCTTTAAGGGGTATCATCCATGCCTGTTGTAGTACTTTAAGTGCTGTGCTTATTCCCAGCAGGGCACGAAAAAGTTATTCTGCCACCTTGGAACTACATTCCCTTAGATATATGTTGGCTTCAGCACCAGTCTATGGAAATGCCCTGGGTCTGGGTGTACCAGCTATAGACTATAGACTCTGCTCAGGGAACCCTCTGTTCTTTGGGGCACTTTCTCTAACTGGCATGTGGTTTAACTTTGGGTTCTTTCTGTTCTTCTTCAGAACGACTTTCCAACCAGGATGTCCCTTGTGGTCTGATGTTGTTTTCAAAACATCTTTCTGGATGACTAGAAATCAAAAGCCGACTACAGGGACAAGACACAAATCTGCGAGCCAGTAGGTCTGGGACCTTTTCTGGAATGGAAGAACATCTTTGTCAAGGGATGGGAGACACCTTTGAGGGAAGTTGATTCCAAACTTCAGTGTCCGTCTAACTAGTTTGAGAAACATATCAACAAAACAACTATGTGTGAGAGCATTCTCACACGTGGCATTTCACACCTAGAGTTCATCCAGTCCCATCATGCTCAACCAAACCTGGATTCCTTTCCAATTCTGACAGAGTTAGCACTGGACTGCTAATTTCCAAATGTTGCTTCTGCCTACCGTATGCTTTTCTCTCCTGCCTGTGCTGTGTCTAAAGAAAGAAGAATTTATTACTGGTATTAGAAGAAGGCCTTTACTGACAACAGAAGATAGCTCAGGCAAAACAGACCTTTTATCCCTGTCACCTCCCAGTCACCAGTCAATTACTGCTGTTACACTAAAACGGGAAGGCCTCCAGTGAGCTCATGACAGTGACCTGCTGGACAACTCCAGAAATGATTTCAGTTTGCTGCTCTGAATGACAGCTCCTGAGCAAAACAAAGGGAATATATCTTTTTGAAAAGCTGTCTAATTGGTATTTCTTTTTCCATTCTTAGAACATTAACAGCTTTTTCTCTTCTGTATGTGTCAACATCTGAATCTTGGACACTAAGGGCTCTCCTTTTCCTCCCCTCTCCTGGACTTTCCACAGATTGGTGCCACACACAGAGCCCCGCCTCCCTCTGCACTCTGATGAGATTATCATCTGGTGCCTTTTGATAAATGTTTAAAATGTACACATGTAAGAGAAGAGGAGGAAAAATAAGAAAGTAGTAATGCAAAACAGAAAAATAAGAAAGAATGTAAGAGGAAGAAAATATATGGCCTCATTTGTTAATTGGGGGCCATATTCCTTGTAAACTCCACTCCATCGTCTTTGGTTTTGTACCTCATTTACTGTGACAACTTTCTGCCAGTCTAGGTGTGCTACTGCAAGACCCCAGGGATACAGAATGGCATCTCTTGGCCTGACTGGGCTGCTGCCCTTGCTGTTTTTTAGACTTGAGGAATAACACTTGCTCAGGAAGAAGCACTTCTAGTCTCACACTGGCCTAAATAATTATTGATTTTGCTGAAATAAGAACCCCAAAGCTATATCTTTTGGATTTTGTAATTTGGATAGATTGCAAAAAGATGGCCACAAATTTCTCATCAAGAAATGCAATCTATTCCTCCCAACTTGAACCCAGGGCGGCCAAGTACACAGGTAGAAACTTGAAAAATTCTTGTGCATGGGGTTTATCTTCTCTTGCTGCTCTTGGGAGCTTTGCAGTCACCAACAGATGAGCAAACATGGACCATTCTGCTGCATAATGAGAGAAACAGGGCCAGTTAACCAGCTACGTTCTGTTATAGTCTCAACTGATTACAAAGACATTGAGTGAGCCCAGGAAGACCAACAGAACTGCCTGGCTGAGCCCAGCCCAAATTGCTGATTCCTGTGTAAGGCATGAGAAGATGATGCAGTCTTTACATGTTCATGTCCCTTCAAGAAAAAGCCACCTTCTCTTTGAGTGAATATTCAGCCTTGAGTCCCCTATTCCATCTCAACTGAGGTATCTCACAGCCTCACTTTCTCAAAGCTTTTTATTCCATACTATTACTGGGGGTACATAATTGTATCTTATCACTAGAGGACAGTGCTGTCTACCACCCCCAGTAGGGATCCATCTCCATCTGTGGATCCATGGGCAACCATGACAAGGTTTCTTCTTCACATCTCCTTGGTCATCTGCAGAGTCACCTGACTGGAACTAGGCCCTATTCTTCAGTACCATTCACTAGTATCCACTGGTATCCATTACTTCATGTATTTGAAGAACTGTTATGAAATAAAGAAGCCCCTGGGTGAGAATGAGAAGGGTGAGTTGGTATCATTGCTTGGAAGAGAACTGGCCTACCAAAGGACTTCCCACTGCTTCTGGCCTGCCCCAGAGGAACCAGGAGGACAGTTCAGCCCAGTACCTGCACTTGCAAGGACTGGAAAGACATGAGCCATAATCCTGGTGCTGACTTTTAACCCTGCTGGTATCCCTGTGCTCTAAAAGCCTAAGTCTGATCTGTCTGTTTGGGCCCCAGTTCAGGTGGAAAGATGGTTAAAACATTATTTCTTAGTCGCCAGCTCTGGATTTCAACTTGCTCAGGCAATTTTGGAGAATATTGGATAGCTGCAGTAGTTATTATTTCCCTATACTGAGCACTGTGTCAGGCTTCTCACCACCAAAGAGCCCCATAGCACCAGCTGCAGAGACCAAAAATATTGCTTTTCTTAGCCAGGGGCATATATGATTTGGGTGAAGGTTGAGGGGAAGCAATGGAAAAGAATTATTAAAATTGGAAACCTGCAATTCCAAAGACAACAGAATTACAGACACAATAAAAATACAAAGATAACAGGCTCCTGAAAGAACCGGGGGACGGGGGGGCAGGCTTGTCCCCTGTAGGACTGTAACATCACCCCAATTTCCAAGTATTCCTTGGAAAAACAAGAAAAACAGCTGTTTCTGGGCATGTGGACAGGAGGTGAGGCAGAGTCAGCATTCTGTAGCACCTCGGCTTTTTCTTACCATGTTCCTTCCTTCCTTCTCCCCAGTAGTGTGCCCTAACAGAGTGCACTTATACGTGTTAGCTTCCTCCCTAGGTTTTCTTGGGGGTACAAGATAAGTCATGGTCTCTGTCCTTGGATGGAGACCCCCCACAACTTAAATGGGGAACTAAGACATGCCCAAGAAAGGGTTAGGATATTTTATGAATTATAACATGAAACATTGCTATGGATAAATTACAGCAAACCCAGGGAATTAAAGTTTTTTTTTATTTAAGTGAGTATATTTTGATATTTAAGTGTTGTGTGTCCCTTCACCTTAGTTAATGTTCAGTCATCTGAAAAACCAATATTCAAAACCAGAATAGGTAGAGGTGAACTGGGAGGGAGAGGGCTGTGAGGCAGAGGACCCTGTGGGATGCTTGTGAGCTGTAGTGTTGGTGAGTCACCACTGAGTCAGAGACACGTGGGGGGGGCATGCCTGCAGGTGGCAAGAGGGGTCCCCTTGTAGCTGAACTGCTTCTCTATGCCATGTTTATGCACATGTAGAAGCTGGGGACATTAGTCATAGAGTGGTCCAGGTCAGCTGGTCCAGCCACACATGCTCACAGGGATAGTGCTACATCTGCTTCTCTAGGCACTTAGGTCTGCAACTTTGAGGGTGCTGCCCACCCTCCTTCACATAGCACAAGACTTGCTGAGATGATGCACCTCAATCCTTCTCACAGGCCTCACTCTGCACCTGGCACAGAACTGTGCCAACTGGGGTGTGGGAAGGGAGCTGACGCTGTCTAGGCTGAACACTCCTCGACACTTCTGTACATACTGCTAAATAGGCCAGAAGACTTCACCCAGGTAATCCGTAGACACAAGGCAACTTTTGAAAGAGGCTGAAGTCATAGACTTGTAATCTTCCTCAACCCCTCCACATTTTTTCCTTGATAGCTGTTGGAATAAACCATTAGTGAAATCACAACCTAATTAACTCTTCAGACTCCAAACTTGTCTTTTACTGGATCAATGTTTCCCAAAGATAATAGCCATAGATTAGTTGATTGCTGTTAAAATGTATTGTTGGACTCTGCATTAAGGATTGAGTCAGGATTTGTTTAAAGTGTATTTCAGGGAAGTCCTGTTTCCAGATGCATTTGGGAAATGCTGCATTAGATTATACTCCTGGTGTACCCTAAACAGCTGGTTCTGAGACTTCCTTGGGTCTTGAAATGTTTTCTTCACATGCCCAGGTGGCGTCTTCTCACTCCCTTGGGTCTGGTAGTGGCAAAGCCCTCAGCAGTCCAGCTGTGAGTGTGGTGACTGATGTGCCAACAGGGGAGAACTGTGTCATGAAGGGAGAGAAGAAAGCTAGGAGCACCCCAGGCAGCCAGTTATAGACATTTCCAATCTTAGAATAGTCACTTGTGACAATCTCAGATGTGGCAACAAGAATTACAGGTAATTTTCTCATTCCCTAGATGCCACCCTGAGTAAAACTTAGATCATGAAAGAAAGACCATCAGGGAGATGTCAGAAAGAAACCATTTGAAGTAAATTACCGGTGTGGTTAGTCAACCCACCTGAAGACCCAAAGCGGTGTGAGCATGAATAATAAAATCTATATAATAGTCCTTCCAGAATCAGATACAGTTTTTGCCCGCATCTTATGTAAGTTTGAAGCTGATTTGGAGGATATAGAGATCAAATTCATCAAACTAGGGCCAGGTACTTAAAGTTCTAAAAGAAAAAAAGAGTGCCTACTTTTTTTTCCTGCCAGGATCCTACCTCCTCTTCACCTGGGAAGTTGAACGATGAAGCGTCAAGTCAGGGCTTTAACATCAGGCAGAGCAAGGATACTGCTGAGCTTTTTGAAGCTGCAGCCTTGGCTTTAGCACTGCCTGAGGGTGATAAGTTGTTAATGCTAATAATATGATAATATGTGTGCATGCTAGTCACAGTGTGTTATTGTTTACAGAACATTTTCACATATGTATTCTCTCATATGATGGCCACATCAACCCCTGTGATTAAAGCAGGGTGGATATTGTGGGCCCATCAAACAGAAGATAAAACTGGGGTTGAAAAATATTTTGTCAAATATTGAAATTATAGAGCCAAGTCTTCTGTCTGCTGAGGATGCTGCCTACTCCTACAATTCCCCTGGGACTGGGATCTGGTTGATTCTCTTCACAGCTAATGACTGGTGACAAGAGTCTTGGACTCTGTTCTCACTCATGTCATCGGTGAAGCTATAAAGACTGACCCAGTTGCTGCTTCGTCCTACCAAGCACCATTCTCAAATGCTGCTTCGAGAGGAGTCTGCTTCACCCAAGGAAAGCTTCATTTTCATTAGCTGTTCTGGAGCATTTGGGGGGGGGGGGGTGGCGAGGCAGGCTTTGACAATAATGTGCTTCAGGTTTTAGAATCCTTGAAGAAGAATTTTGGAACCAAACTACAAAGTACCTAGGCTCATAATTTTGGAGGCTAAGAGTAACCTAATTGGGAGCAAAATAGCTGGCATCTTCACTGCACTTGAGAACTTTAGGTAAAAGTAAGAGGGATCAAATATAAGAGGGTTAGTTAAAAAATGTTTAGCCTCTTGGACTAGACACAGGTAAATGCACTTGGACCTGTTTCTTCTGGGAAAGCTAAAAGAGACACAACTTCTTTCCTACTTTGGCTTTAAGGGAAAGTCACTTTATTAACAAAGGTTAGACTAGATACTATTCCGTGAAAAGTTTCCCTGTGGGAATAAAAACAATGGGACAGAGGAGTTCAGATATCTGCTTCGCCAGCGTCATTGCCCAGTTTTTTTTTGTGCCTTGTCTGTGGCATCAAAATGAAAATGTGTCCCTGTTGCCCGTGTTTTTTTTTTCAGTGTCAAATATAGAGTGAATTTTAGTTGTAATGTTTTAAGCTAAATAAAGCATTTTCATGTACAGTTGTTATCAAGAACTCATAATTCACACAACTGTGGTTAATCATTATCAGATGCGAAATGGCCTGAGCAGGGCAAGAAGGTATCACATAGAAAGTGGCTGTGTGAGATTTTCTGATGTAGGATGTTGGATGGATCCTCCGGGAGGCAAGTCCCGACAGAGCATGATGTATGGAGTTGGATAAGCTACAGAGTTTACAGAGTTGGATAAGCTAAGGCCTACATAAATTCTGTCTTCATTCTTGCTATTCTCCACAGACTAACATTCAGGAAGAGATGAGGACTAGGAAAGATGGCAGGACAATGGGATGGCATCTCACTCATTTTCAAGAATGGCAAGAGCATTTACTTTCTTCCTAGAAGTTACACTTGGGGAAGGGAAGAGGGAAGCTCTTCATGAAGCAACATTTTAAACTCGGAAGCGTTTGGGGAATTCCAAGGTATCGTAATTAAGAAAAGGCAACTTGAATTCTTTCTTAGCAAAAGAAGTAATACCTTCAAAAACAATCTTCTCTTAATGGGCAGGAGTTCTCAAGGGAATTCCAGATTTTAGGATCTTGGCTGATTGGAAACCTTGCCTGAACCACCTGGGCTCCATTTACATCTTTTAGTAAATAACTTTAAAATGTTTACGTTTACATTTAACTTAAAGACAGACCCTAACACAGTTTCTCTGATGTCCTCCTCTGGACTGTCTGCTATTGTTTGAATTCCACACTGCTTTTTCAGCTTTATAAAATACTATGTTTGACTTAAAAAATGTTCTTTAATAGTCACCAACATGCATTCTCTTCACATCTCCCAGAATTTTAATTTCTTCTGTTGAAATCTTTTCCCTTCTTTTTGAAGGAAATTCCTTTAGCAACAGTCTATTGATAGGTTCTGCTATTAGTTGTTTATCTAAAATATTTTATTCTTGTTTTTTGAAAGATAGTTTCACTTTTAGGTCAATAATTCTTTTTCTTCTGCACATCGAAGATGTATTCCACTTCCATTTGGCTTTTATGGTTCCTTTTGAGAAGTTATCTAGCAATCTAATTATCCTTTCTTTATAAGTAATGTTTTAAATAATTTCTCTGTATGTTCTTTTTGTATCTAAATATTCTTTGGTTTAATTAATACATGTCTAGGTATTGGTTTCTTTTGCCTTGGAATCTGTTGCTTCCTGGATTTGTGGATCAGATTTTCTATCAATGATGGGAAGTTCTCACTTAACATATCAAATATTTCTTCTCTTTAGACTCTATTTTCAGAAATCTGATTAAATGTCCTGTGTATTGATTAATCTACCTCTTACAATTTCATCTCTTTATCTCACTGTATTCTGTGTAGTTTCTTCAACTTTATCTTCCAGGTCATTGTTTTTCTCTTTAGTTGACTCTAATCTCTTTCCTTTGAATTTTAATTTTTATTAATATAATCTTTCATTTTTTTTTTTTATTTTTTTTTTAAAGATTTATTTATTTATTCATACAGAACTGGGGTACAGGCCAGAGGCTCAGGGATGGTGAGAGGCTTCACCAGAGACAGAGTGGGGAGCAGAACAGGCAGATTGACGAAGTACACTGCTGAGGGGCGCAGCTGGCGGGTCAGGAGAGGTCTGCCTCGCCATGTGAATCGCCTTTGCGGCAGGCGGGAATTGAACTCATGCGGAAGTGGCTTCAGATTCTCAGTGCTGTGCTTTAACCCGCTGCGCCACCAGGGAGGGCCCCTAATCTTTCATTTTTTTTTTTTAACTCCATTTATTTCTTTGTAAAATATGTGTAGTCACTGTTGATTGTCCTGCTCCTGACTCTTATACAAATTTCCTTCTAATTTTTTGGAATATACTATTTGTATTAAAGTCATAATTTATAGCCAGTAATTCTGATACTTCAGTCTTTGAGGGCTTAGTTTTGAAATGTGTTACTCCCTGGATTGTGGATTTCTTGTTTCACTCATGATTTCTTGTTTCCTTATATATTTCATAGTATTTTACTGTGGTCTAATACCATATCACATTGTTACCACTCAAAAAAGGTCTTTCTTACTCCATAGGTGTCATCCATCTGCCCATTATAACTCTCTCTTTATATGTACAACAGATTTGGAGGGTTCAAGCAGACTGAGTGGTTTGAGTGAAGGCATTGAAGTACTAAGTGGGTGAATTCAAGAAGGTATGTATCTTCTGACGTACCTTGTATATCCCTCTGCTGCAAGCTTCTAAATGGAAATGAGCCCAGGCAAGGGGAAAGCAGGAAACTTTAGCTAGAGTTCAGTTTGAATATTATAAACTAATCACTCTTTTAATTACAGAAATAAGACTATAGGTGATTGGGGGTTAATAGTAAACAGAGGCCATTTATTATTCAAAAGGGACTGAGATGGATTAGAATAAGGCAGTTGTGTTGGGGGATTGAAGTGGAAGACTTAATATTTTTTGCCACCCAATGTTTTGCATTTAAACAAATGTACATCATGGTTTTATAGTCTTTCAACTCAAGAAATAGTCTGCATTTTAATCATTAGGCTGATTTCAGGTTCAGAAAAATCTTGGCAGAAACATCCTAATAATACTCATCATACCATCTAAGTAGAAGTTATATTTTGTGTTGAATTGGTTTTAATCATTTCCTGAAGGCTTATCCCGTAAGGAGAGATGACTCAGATGTGGAAGGAGGTGGGGGGTAGCTGACAAGTCCAGCGGAGGGGAGAGTGAGTGAATCAGACACGCCATCTAGTGGCACGGGTCCACGGAAATGCCTCTAACGCGGCCTCCCAGGACTCAAGGTGTCCAGAAGAGGTGTATCTCAAATTGCTTAGAGAGAGTTATTCTTAAAGGCTATGCATGAATTCACTTTTAGAAATAAAATTAAATGCATTAGGAGTTCTTCACTTTAAAATGGTGAGGTTTTATGTATGTTCACAAGGCTAAAACATATTGTGCTCAGATCAGACATCTGTGGGTACCATGGCAGGGAAGACCTCATGTTTCTTGCTTGGAACCAAGTGGGAATGAGACACATGCCTCTTTTGATTAAAAGCTACTTTAGAGTGTTTTTGAACTTCATTGATGTGCGTTGTGAAGGCAGGTCAAATTCCGATGCTACAGAATTGTAGTGAGCCTGTTTTCTCACTAAACTAAAATTATATCATTGAACTTTGTTCCCAAAGGAACTAAAAAGTCTCTGCCTCTCAATGTTAAGAGATCGATTTATCTCTCTCTCTGCTTTTGCTTTCTCTCGTTCTCTCTCTTTCCCCCTCATTCTCTCATTCTCATTCATTATTTTTCTCACTCTCTAAAAATCCAAGCAAAGATTCCAGTCTCTTAAGTTAAAAAGCCACGGTGTCTTGTTTGTTAAAACAATTCTGGACCTTAGAAAATATTTTCTTAAATCTTCATTTTGTGGACAGCAGCCTAGCACCAATAGTTTCTTCCTGCTTCACTGAGACCCCCCCCCACCCCCTACCCAGATGTCCAGTCTCCCATAGAACAAAGCTAGAGAGACACACAGGCCAACTTGTGTTTAGCGCTATTCTCATAAAAGCCCTTTGTTCCACTAAGTGGGGTTCACTGATAATGGATGGACATCAATACCAACACTGCACCCACAATGCAGTGATTTAGACAGCTGACTTTTGTCACTCTTTCAGACCTGGGAGGCAGTCTTCATTTTACTTGTAATATTTTAATTTTTTAACTAAAGTATAATTGACATAAAACATTAGTGTCAGGTGGACACTATAATGAGTTGCTATTTGTACATAATGAGAAGTCTCCCGAAGTTTCAGTCATAATTTTTTGGTTGCAAATGACAGAAAGCTCCATGGACCAACTGAAGAAAAAAAAAATAGGGGAGGACGAAGGCTGTTTATTAAAGAGATCCTAAGGTTGTTCCCAGGATGAAAAAAGAGTAGTAGGAGCTGAGGGAAACCTGAATCTTGACATAGTCAGCTGTTCTTTGCCAGCCCTCACACCTATTTGTCCTTTTACATCTCTATTTCCAGCCACGACAGATTTTCTCTATAAGGCATAAACACAGCTATTAGCAGCCCAATTCTGCAGCTCATGTGATAAGGGAGGCAAGGCCTTTCCCCATGAGAACAACCCCGCAGGAAAGCATGGCACACCCTATGCTCAATCTTTATGGCTAGAGACATGACAAGTGACCAGGAAGATGAGATCTTGTGATAAACGATGAGGCAGGGACATTTCTCCAGAGGAGAAAGGGAGAGATTAGTAGTAACAGTGAAAAGGGGGTGCCTGGCACCTCCATGATACCTTCTCTCCCCTGAAGCTTCCTGGGACAGAGAATTCCCTAAGCAGCTGAGCTTCAGAGCAAAAAATGGTTACTAGGAGCTCTATGTTTGAGAGATAATTTGTCTCACAAGTCCTCATTTTACTTGTAATCTTTTAAATTTTTTTAACTAGGGTATAATTGGCATAAAACATTAGTGTCAGCTGTACACTATAATGAGTTGCTATTTGTATAGTATGCGAAATGACCTCCACAATAGGTTTAGTTAACATCCTCACCACTGAGTAAAAAAGTTCACTGTCTTGTGATGAGAACTTTGAGGACGTCCTCTGTTAGCAGCTTTCAAATATGCACCATGGTGTTGTGAACTATAATCATCATGTTGCACATGATATCCTCATAAATTATTTATTTGGAATTATTTATTCCAATTATTTATAATTGGAAGTTTGCACCTTTTGCCCCATTTCATCCATTACAAGATGGACTTGTAATATTCCCCTGCCCCCCACCACCTCTTGTGTCCCCTCACCCTTTACCCTCCCCCTTAATCTCAGAGCCCTCAGTGTTCATAGATGTCCACTGTTTTTTTCCAGTTTTACAGCACCCAGTTATCAGCTATGTGAGTGTCCAGTATTTGTTGTTACTTTTGGACTTGCTTTACTAGACTGAATTCTCTCAATTTAGTTCTCGATTTAATTCAACCTTAATTCTCTCAAT